CCAGTAGCCAGGCCAGAATTTTCTTTGCTGACAGCGCCTCTTATTAGGTGGCCTCACAGGGATAATATCCCTGTTACAGAGGCACAGAATTCAAATCCTGCACCCCTTGTATAAGGCATGGCTGCCTGAGCTAAAGAAAATTACATCTCCCAGAGCCTCAGTTTGCCTACTTGTCAAATGGGATGCAATAACATTTACTGCCACGGCTGTTGGGAAATTAAGGGAGGTGACGCGTGCAGACCATATGGTGGCAGTAGGTGCTCAACAGATGATGGTCCTCAGGATTTAGCTGGTGCCCTTCACATTCTTCACCCAGCCAATGGTTGTTGAGTTCACTCAAAGCCATCAGAGGTCCACAATCGATCTGACCTGGCCCTTCCTGCTGTGTCAGGGCACACAGAGAGCCCATTGTCACTGTCACACCAAACTGTCCTTGTTTCTCTGTCACAATGTCCATCGTTCCCTGGCTAGTGCTTGGGCAGAAATGGTGGCTCTCTTACCAGCCCAGTGGCCCTGGCACTGACATGGTAGCTAACATTCCATCCCCCATGTCGCGTCCCCCACCAGCTCAGTGGCACACCTCTCCCCAGTAGGGCTTCAAGGAAGAATCCGGAAAGGCTCTTGTCTGAAACTCAGGAGAAATTCTCTTGGCGCTGGAAAAGCCCAGTGCTGCTCAAAATCATGCACGTCTCCTTTCCTGGGGAAGAACACCCGCTTCTGCGGAAAGTCCTGGGGCCACAGGTCCCTCAAAGGTCCGCTTCCTGTAAGAGCCTGCGCACATCAAGGGCTACTGCCTGTGCCACCTGGTTCTACCCCCCTGGCAGAAAGGCCCTGACCTCCCATTTCTCTTCCTGGCGGCTGAGATTTTCTCCACTCCACATTTGTCTCCTTCCAGGAGCAGGATTTTCCCTAACCTGCCTCCAGGCCCAGATGGCAGTCAGGAATCAGGCTTTAAGGAACGATTAACACCCAGTGTACTGATTTCAGCTCCTGCTCCCATGACCTCCATACCCCCTGAACTGTATGGCTGCATGATCTAAAGAAAATCACTAAATTTCCCAGAGCCTCAGTGTGCCCACCTGTTCAATGGGATGCAATAATATTTACTGCCCATGGCTGTTGGGAAAAGTTAGTGAGGTGATGCGTGTAGAGCACACGGTGGCAGTGGGGGTGGCTCTGTTTCTCCTTGTTCGCTGCTGCCCTGTGGGGAGAGCACCCCCTGCACTGAGGAACAGAGTGACCTCAGGGCCCGCAGGTCCTGGGCCTACCATCCCACCCTCTGGAAATACAGGTGGGCATGGGAACCAGAGAGAACAGCTGGTCAGTCATTCGCTTTCCTCTTCATTAACTTCACGCACACACAGGGTTCTCCCAAGGCTGCCTTCTATTGGTCATGACTTCAGTGTGCTACAACCAGTGACACTGCACACTGTGAAGAGCACTGACCTCTATTTGAGAAGTTTTACAACCAAATCACCTGGTGTATTGCAGTCATCTAAATAACAGCATCGGGTGAAATCAGTATCACTTGGGGACTCACAGCAAAGTCTGGAGCACTGTTTCTCAAAGAGTGTTTCCCACATCTCCAGTGAGGTCCAGAGAGGCCTTACCGGGCTGTCTGGAGTTTGCCAGGAGAATGTGTCTGTGTTTTCGTTTGGTGCTGGCCTGTGCTGGGGGTACAGTGACAGCCTAGGGGAGGCGGAGGTCATGGGAGCAGGATCTGAAATCCTCACACTGGGTGTTAATGGTTTCCTAAAGCCTGATTCCTGACTGCCATCTGGGCCTCGAGGCAGGACTGGGGAAGATCCTGCTCCTGGAAGGAGAAGGATGTGGAGTGGAGAATATCTGAGCCACCTGGGGGAAACCGGAGGTCAGAGCCATCCCACCAGGTAGTGCTGAGGAAGAGTGCGGTAGAGGCAGGTGGCACAGGCAGCAACCCTTAGTGTCCCCTCTTCCCCTGAGGCCACACTCTCCAAGCCAGGAGGGTCACAAAGCAGCATGGGGAAGAGGTCAAAGCAGGGCCACGCCTCGACCTGATTCCCATGGGGACTCCAAGAACACCTGGCCTGCGGCCCCACCCCCATGGCTCTGGGACTCCCAACTTCCACCCAGGCCAGGGCGGCTGGGTAAATACAGTGACTCAAAAAGAGCCCAAGGTGACACTCGGGGCCTGCCCAGCTCCATGTGTTATGGCAGGAACTCCTAGGTACCTATTAGCTGAGGCATGGGGACCTGTCAGAGAAAGTCATTTTCATGGGGGTAAAGTGACTCTGAAGCCAAGGGCGCAATCAGTCAATGGGGCTGTTTGAGCCAAGAATCAAATGGAAGTTCCAGCCAGACCTCAGGGCACCCCCAGAGCAGCCAGGACGTCATCAGCCAGGGTGGACAGCTGAGCTCCCCAGACCACAGATGACAGCAGCCACAGGCTTCTGCAACAGCCCACCAGGCTACCCAGGGGCAGGACAAGACAGACCTACCACCTAAGCCTCCAGCAGCCAGGGCCCACCCAAGGGCAGAACAGTCACCCGCCTAGAGACCAGAGGCTCTCCTTCCCCCACCGCATGCACCGCCCCCACTCAGAGAGGATCAGGGGCTGAGCGGAAGGAGGGAGGTCTGCAGTGCGGACCGGGTGTCTGTGAAGAGACTGTGGCATCCACAAGAGACAATACCAGCCAGTGGAAACAAAGGGGCTACATTCTCTGCACCGTGGGTGCAGCATGCTTTCGTGGGGTTTAAGAATTCATGTAATTAGCACCACAGGCTAATGATAACCCCTCCCTAGATTACAAGACAGTCCCATCATCTCCAGCATCTGGCCCCTTGGAGAAGAGTTTGCAGAAGGAAGAAGAGAAGACCAGAGAACATTCTCTATAAGGCCCTTTGCAGAGAAGAAAGCTCAGCTCCTGCCTTGGAAGCAAAGCTGTAGGAAATCTCTTTCCCATCTTTCAAGAAGATGTGAAAAAGCTGAGAAGCCAGATACTAAGGAGAAGAAACCCGAAGCAAAGAAGGCTGATGCTGATGACAAGGGGAAAAGGGATCACCTCAGGACTGAACAACTCAAGAAGGGGAAGTCCCATTGCAGCCTCAATCCCGTCCTTGTCAGAGGAATTGGCAGGTATTCCCAATCTGCCGTGTATTCCGAAAGGACACGTGGAAGAGGAAGTACTGAGCTGCTAAGTCCAAGGTTGAAAAGAAAAAGAAGGAGAAGCTTCTTGCAGCTGTTACAAAACCAGTTGGTGGTGACAAGAACGGTGGTACCTGGGTGGTTAACAAAATGCCTAGATAGCATCCTACTGGAGATGCGCCGCGAAAGCTGTTGAGCCACGGCAAAAAGCCCTTCAGTCAGCTTGTGAGAAAGCTGTGAGCCAGCATTACCCCCGAAGCCATTCTAATCATCTTCACTGGATGCCACAGACGCAAGAGGGTGGTTTTCTTGAAGCAGCTGGCTAGTGGCTTGTTACTTAGGACTGGACCTCTGGTCCTCAATCGAGTTCCTCTATGAAGAATACACCAGACATTTGTCATTGCCACCTCAACCAAAATTGACATCAGCAATGTAAAAATCCCAAAACATGTCACTGATGCTTACTTCAAGAAACAGCAGTTGAAGAAGCCCAGACACCAGGAAGGTGAGATCTTCGACACAGAAAAAGAGAAGTACGAGATTACAGGGCAGCACAAGATTGACCAGAGAGCTGTGGACTCACAGAGTCTACCAAAAATCAAAGCTATTCCTCAGCTCCAGGGCTACCTGTGATCTGTGTTTGCTCTGAGGAATGGAATTTATCCTCACAAATTGGTGTTCTAAATTTCTTAAGAAGAACCTAATTAAATAACTGATAACATTTAAAAATAGTAAATCTGTGGGGACAGAGGCCTGGGCCATGTCTGTGACCAGCATGCTGCAGTGGATGTGGGCCAGAAGGAGGAAGCACAGTAAGCCGTGGGGACACCCCGTGCTGTTCACAGAGCCAGGCACCCAGAGCACGGAGCAGAGCGGCTTCCTTCTTCCCCAGGCTGCTGAGCCTGTGCTGAGCGTGTGTGGAGGGCGCAGCGGGCCGTTCACTGGGGCTGGGAGCTAGCCCACTCTGCCGCCTCGGAGCAGATACAGCCATCAATTACCCCAGCATGTGCAAGAAGGACGCCACTGTCCACACGCTGGGGCCGGGTTTGGAGCGTACTCAGAGACGGAGATCCGTGACCGTCCACACGCTGGGGCCGGGTTTGCAGCGCACTCAGAGACGGAGATCCGTGACTGTCCACACGCTGGGGCCGGGTTTGGAGCGCACTCAGAGACGGAGATCTGGGTGCAAGGGGGTTATGGGGGTGTCCTGGAGACCAGACCCCGCGAGGGGAGAGGGCAGCGGGAATGAGCAGCAAAGGCCTCAGCCAGGCTCACAGGCAGCTCTGAGGCTGGGTGGCTGCACAGTAGCCTGAATCAGGCAGGTGGCCCTGCCGTTACCTGGCATAGCAATCAGCCACTAAAGCAGGTGGCATGAGAGGGGCATGAGCTCATACCAGGTAGCCCCGTCCAGGTGAGTCCTGGGAGGCGATGCCTGTGCCTCTGTCTTGGAGCGGGAGTTTGGGGCGCCCCCCATAGCATTCACACTAGGCTAGGCTTCACGGTCAGGCCTTACACCTGGTGCCTGTGTCAGCCTCCCCTGGATGGGATTTGGAGTTTCAGTGGATACCAACACCCATGTAGAGCCCACGATGACCTGCTTTCCAATTAAGTGAACACCTCAAAGTCCCTTCCAGCGTAAACAATCTGATTCCTTGATTTAATCCTCCACAGTTAAAGGAACCTCTGCACTAATGGGCTTGAGTGAAGTCTTTTTGCACAGTAATACGTGGTCGTATAACCCCCACAACATGTCTCTAAACCCACGTAACAGTCACGGCTCTCGACAGTGATTACGGTTGTGCAGGGCTGAGATCCGAATGCTGGTTGCGGTTGTGCAGGGCTGAGATCCGAATGCTGGTTACGGTTGTGCAGGGCTGAGATCCGAATGCTGGTTGCGGTTGTGCAGGGCTGAGATCTGAATGCTGGTTTCTACAGCGGATTTGTCACATTCAGGTAACGGGTTTTGGGACTTGAATGTATCTTTTTGGAGGGACACAATTCAACCCACAACACACCCCCTCCTGGGCACCTGCACCCGGCGGTCCACACTGGGGATAAAGGCCCAGCCCTGGGCTCCACTCAGGATGACCCTGAAGGGCTGTGCCAGCTCCAGAGCTTCCTTGGGAACCAGCGGTTAGGGCATCACTGCCCGACAACTCCCTCTACCCCACTGGCCTTTCTTCTCTCCCTTCACAGACCTTAAACCCAAGAGCACTGCCCCGCACAAATAAACACTCTTCTGTCTCTGAGTGAGCTTCCCCAGGGACCCAGCCTGCATCAGGGACTCAGCTAGGTGGGGACACGGGCCTATGCCGACGCGTGGCCTGGGGAACACGGGCCCATGCCGATGCGTGGCTGTGAAACTAACAAGCACATCACCCAAGGCCTCCAGGTGAGGGTCCCGACACAGCCACGTTGTGACAGGACAAGTTTGTTCCAGAACGTTTCAGAGGCTACCCCTGGGCAGCCACCTCCAGACTCCATTGATGAGCGGTCTTGGGAACCTCCCCCCGCCCCACTGTGCCCCACCCGTGTCTGGTGATCCTCCCGGTCTGTAAACCGTGGCCCGGCCGACTTTAAGCAGCTGTCAGTTATGTACTCACTTCTGCCTCCAAGACGTCGGTCGGCCTCTACTGTACACGCCTCACACTGAGTGCCAAGGACATGCAGCTCACGGTCATGGCCCTGACCTCGAGTGTCTCAAACTCAGTGGGAAGGAAGACAAACGCACAGCTTTCCATGACACAGAGGGATGGGTGTGGGAGAGGCAGCCGCCAGCTGCTGTGGGAACCCAGAGAAATGAGACTTCAACCCAGACCCAGTCCACGTAGGTGCCTCAGAGACAGGGGGACAGTAGTCCCGGGAGGGGCACACTGTGGCCGCTCCTGCACAGCCAGGGAGCTACAGGGGTTTCCACATGGCCAGGTGCAGCAGGGAGGCCCAAGGCAGGCAGGCACCTGATTGTGAAGTGAACAACTATTGAGTTCCATAGGTTACTAAACTAGTTGGAGGCAGCTATCCCCAGTCCTACTCCACGATACAATGCCTGATACATGTGGTGGCTGTGGATGTGTGACTGTGTTTAGCACATGGCCTGGGAGTTAAGACCCTCCCTCTCCCCTTTTCTGGTCTGGAGGGTTCACCTGAACCCTGTTCATTCCACATGGGGGGCCGATTTTTTAATCAGATCGGTCCTGGGTCTTCACCAGCTCATCTGACTGGTCTGCCGAAGTTACTTCCGCTTTGATTTATGAATTCCATAACCAGATTTCTCACATCACAGGATTTCCACTCTTCAGATAAGCGAGGGTGGGTAGAAACCTTTGGGTCACTGTAGTTAGTTTCACACTTTCAAAACTAGAAAATTTCTAACCAGGGAAAGTGAAAACGTGAGAGCCTCAGCACAGGTCAAACGCGAAAACACCTAAGAAATCAAGAGAATTAAAAAGAAAGGCCGGGCATGGTGGTTCACACCTGTAATCCCAGCACTTTGGGAGGCCGAGGAGGGCAGATCACTTGAGGTCAGGAGTTTGAGACCAGTCTGGCCGACATGGTGAAACCCTGTCTCTACTAAAAATACAAAAATTAGCCAGGCGTGGTGGGCTCCTGTAACTTCAGCTACTCAGGAGGCTGAGGCACGAGAATTGCTTGAACCTAGGAGGCACAGGTTGCAGTGAGCCAAGATCGCACCACTGCACTCCAACCCTGGGTGACAGAGTGAGACTGCTTTTAAGAAAAAGAAAGAAAAGAAGAGGCCAGTAGTCTGAAGACAGGAAATGCCAGCTCGGTTTTCAAAAGCAGAGGAAAGATGAATTCTAAAAACCAGCTACGTGCAGTGGCTCATGCCCATAATCTTAGCGCTTTGTGAGGCTGAGGCAGGAGGATTGCTTGAGTCCAAGAGTTCAAGACCAGCTTGGACAACATAGTGAGACCCCCCCCATCTCTATAAAAAATTAAAACGTAGTAATAATTAACCAGGCGTGGTGATGCACATATACAGTTGTAGCTACCCAGGAGGCTGAGGTGGGAGGATCACTTGAGCCCAGGAGGTCAAGGCTGCAGTGAGCTATGATTGTGCCACTGAATTCCAGCCTGGGTGACAGAGTGAGACCCCATCTCAAAAAATTAAATAAATGAAAAGTAGAAACAAATCAGCAATCCTGACCAATTTTGAGCAAAATTCCAGTATGGAGTAATTTTTTTTTTTTTTTTTTTTTTTGAGACGGAGTTTCACTCTGTCGCCCAGACTGGAGTACAGTGGCACAATCTTTGCTCACTGAAACTTCCACTTTCTGGATTCAAGCGATTCTCCTGCCTCAGCCTCCCAAGTGGCTGGGACTACAGGCACGCACCCACTGCGCCCAGCTAATTTTTGTATTTTTAGAGACAGGGTTTCACCATATTGGCCAGACTGGTCTCGAACCCCTGACCTTATGATCCACCCGCCTCAGCCTCCCGAAGTGCTGAGATTACAGGCTTGAGCCACCGTGCCCAGCCTAGGGTAATTTTTAAATGATTAGGGAGATGGGGAAAAAACTAATTGCTGGGAACCAGCATGTGGTCACTGAGGACCGATCGCCTTTCACTTCGACAAGGTTGTTAGATCGACAGCCCTGGAAAATGTTATGAGCTCCAGCTGCTTGTGTTTATTGTAGAAAAGAAAAATTTACATCTCTCCACAATTATTTGTATAAACAGAAGAAAAAGAAGGAGGAGAAAGGGGAGGAGGAGCCTAGAGCTAAGCAATGTCAGATGGTAACAGAAGGCTTCAGTGTGAGGCTGAGGTCCCCTGAAAAGAGGTCTCCACACCACACTCCCCACTGTCAATCCCCCGGGTGTCTACAGGACCATGAAGGTGCTGCTGGGGTCTGTGAGCTAAACACGGCATCTCAAAAGGCCTAATGGAAAGCGTACTCTTACCCACGGGCTAGCTAACGTGTCATTTCGGCACAGTGTAATTGAAGGGGACTGGGCTCTTCCTCTGTCCAAGATCCGTGGGCTTAAGTCAGTTATAAAATCTCTGTGGGCATGTTTGTTTCCAGCAAGAGGAAAATCTACAAAATTTGAAAGTCCTGTTGCCACAAAGCACCTAGAAATCCTGGAAAATTTATCCTGAATATCCTGTTAAACACACAGCGGGGCACACATCAGTAAGAGATCCCCAGCAGACAGAAGCAAAGAAGAAACTGTAGACTCAGCTGCTGCCCTTTGGAGATATTTGCCAAGCTCAGGAACAGGGAGCCTCGGTGTCCACAGCCATCCAGGCACTGAATACCAAACCCGGGGCCTGCACGAGCCAGGGACTTGGAAGTGAGGCTCCCTAGAAATGCAGGACCCTTGGAGGCTGTACCCTCAGTGATAGAATGAGGCAAAACAGAAATTAATAAAAAGAAATGACAAGGAAACATGTGTCTCAACTCCTGGGCTCTGAGTGGGACAGAGTCTCCCTGAGAATCCATGCCTGGCCCCATTGGGTTTGGGTTTGAACTGATACCATTTGGTCTGGGAAACTAAAGTCAAGAAATTAGCTAAGAGTGGTGTTAGGTTGATAGTCCCCCAGATGCTTGGCAGAAACAAATGTGAAATCTCTCTGGAGCAACACGTCCTCAAACCAAGGTGTGCAGGATTTCCAAGATAAAGCCCAGCCGTGTACTATAAGATTAACCTTTATTGGCCAGGCACGGTAGCTCACGCCTCTAATCCTAGCACTTTGGGGAGCTGAGGCAGACAGATCACTTGAGGTCAGGAGTTCGAGACCAGCCTGGCCAACATGGTGAAACCCTGGCTCTACTAAAAATACAAACATTAGCCGGGCATGGTGGCACATGTGTCTATAGCCCCAGCTACAGAGGTTGAGGCAGGAGAATCACTTGAATCTGAGAGACAGAGGTTGCAGTGAGCCAAGATTGCGCCACTGAACTCCACCCTGGGCAACAGACCGAAACTCTGTCTAGATTAAAAAAAAGAAAAAGATTAACCTTTATTGAAGACTTACCTTGTACCAGGTACAGTTTTAAATCTTTGACCTGGGCCAGGCATGGTGGCTCACACCTGTAATTTCAGCACTTTGAGAGGGTGAGGAGGACAGATCACCTGAGGTCAGGAGTTCAAGACCAGCCTGGCCAACATGGTGAAACCCCATCTCTACTAAAAATACAAAAATTAGCCAGCTGTGATGGTGGGTGCCTGTAATCCCAGCTACTCTGGAGGCTGAGGCAGGAGAATCACTTGAACCTGGAAGGCAGAGGTTGCAGTGAGCCAAGATGGTGCCACTGCACTTCAACCTGGGTGACAGAGCGAGACTCTGTCTCAAAAAGAAATAAAAATTAAATAAATACATCTTTTACCTGTATTGTCCCACTTAATCTTCACACATT